GCACGCTGCCTTCCGCCCGCACTGCCGTCAGCCCTGGCAGAGTGCGCGGCCAGCTCCCCGGCCGGCTGAGGGCTGCTCTGCGCCCCCTCCACGCTTGCCTCCCTCGGACCCTCCGCGAGGCCTCTGTGCCACGCCGTCAGGCAGTCAGCAACGACCCCACCTGTCGGTGCCGACCTTCTGTGTCTGCTGCCTTTCTGTTGCTATCGCAGATAACCTAAGTCAGCTTTAAGAGAAAAGCTCGCCTTGGCTCACGGCGTCCCAGAGTTGCGGCAGGGCAGACGGCACGGCCGGGACGCACAGCACAGGAGGGCTCTCGCCTCACAGCGGCCCAAGGCGTGCGGATCGGAGGGCCTGGGGTCCCAGGCGCCCTTCAAGGGCAACCCAGGGGACCTCCCGCCCTCCGCCAGCCCCACCACTCCCAGGAGCACCCTGGGCTGAGGACCGAGCTTCCAAGCCTGGGCCTTCGAGTGACATTCAAGACCCAAACTGCAGTTCAGGGTGCTGGTGCCCACCCGCAGTCACAGGTACTCCGGACCCAAGTTCAAAGCCAGCCCTGGCAGCTGAGAACAGAAAAGCGGGCAGGGGTGCGGGGACTGCCGTTGGGGGGTGAGCGCCTCGGTCGGTGTGCACGGTCCTGAGTTCCACCCTCGCTCCGCCAGGAAACGAACGAAGATTCGAGCTATGGCAGCCCGCTACCTCCGCAGACGCCCTTGTCCAGAAACAGGTCCTTAGGAGCTGCCGGAGCGGAGCACAGCCGGGCACGGGAGAGCTGCGACGCGGCGGAGGCAGCAGGAGCCAGGCCCGGGGCTCGTCCCGCGCCCAGCAGGCGCCGCCTGACAGCGCAGCCTGGGTCGGTGGCCGCGATCCCAGCACGACCCACTGCAAGGAGCGCTCAGGAGAGGTGCTGGCTTCACTCTTACGCTGACTGCACGCACAGACGTGCCGTGGGGCCGCCAGGGCCGGTGACGCGTGCCCTTCTTCCTCACTACCGTGTCCTCCGAGCAACGCCTCCCCTCGGGTCCGCAAGCGCCCGGCTGTTCCCGTCTGCCCGGGGCCGCCGCCCTGCCCGCTCCCCGGCTGCTCGGACCGGGCGGCCCGGGGGTCGCTTAGCAGGAGCGCGGCGATCCGAGGTACCCACACCCCGGGGCTGGCCGCCCTGGAACCCGCGGGGTGGCCGTGTGCACGAGCCCAGCACACAGCGGCGTCGGCACAACGTGAAGACGCGGCAGGTCTCGGAGCGAGGGAGCGAAGACCGAGGTTGCTCCCCCGACCCAGCGCGGGCCGGCGGGCCTGAGCTTCCAGGCGAGACCAGCCGGCTCACCGCCCTGGCCTCGGCACCCTTTCTGTTCCTCCGTGTACTGCGCGCCCCGAAGACTCGGACGTTTATTGGTCCCATCGGTATTTAGCATATGAGACACGGAAACTGAAAAAAATGTTCAAGACAGACACACTCTCCGCACGGCCTCGGGAGGCTCCGCCACACCGCGGGCGGAGGACGGGCGGAGAGGCAAGGGCATCTCAATACTGCCATCGCGACAGCCTGGATATCGGGGCCTCTTGAAAGGGTCCCAAGGGCCTCCCAGAGCCCCAGGCCGAACTCTGAGGACCACCCACGAGGGTCGGTGCCGGTGACTTCGGGGCTGGGCCCTCCCCCACAGAGCCTTGGGAAGCAAGGCTGAGACACCCAGAGCAAGAGAGAGGCGCTTCCATCTGTTCTGCATCGAATGGCTCCCCACCCGGGAGCCCCAGCCACTCACATCCTGGCCCACCGCCACGTCCAAGAGCAGCCTCGGAGAGCCAGGAGGGTGCCACAGAAACGGGGAAGACTTAAGTCCCAGGCCAGCCGGGGCTACACAGCTGGAGGCCAGCCTGAACTACACAGTGAGACCCTATCGCAAAACAAAACACCCAAAACAATCAAACTACATACCATGTCCACGCGGCCCCTGCTGCCCAGAAGGTAGGCCAGGGGTCTCAACTGCAGCAGGGCTGAGCCTGTGCGCACTGGGCTGCTGCCGCCCGTACCCGGAGGGCCAGAGCCCCCTCCACCCTCTCCTCAGTCACGGCTGCTCCCACGCAGAGATGCTCACGTGAACAAGACAACATGCAGCTGGGCGTGGTGGTGCACGCATGTAATCCTGGCACTCAGGAGGCTGAGGCAGGAGGATCGCTGCGAGTTCGAGACCAGCATGGCCTGAACTGCAGAGAGACCCTGCTCAAAAAGAAAAAAAGACAACATAAATGTGCATCTTTAGGACTTACAAACCCCACTGGCTGCCACAGGCCCAGCCTATACATAACCCAAACTCTGCCTTTGAGAACATCCCAGACTCCTCCGCAGACCTTCCTCAAGCGGAGCTAGTCAGACCAAGTCTATCTCTAGTTGCTACTAGAGACATTAGTGGTGGGACTAGAATCTGGTTTCCAGGGCAACCAGCAGAGTCAACACAGCGCAACACTCCTTTTGTGGTCAGGAGTGGGCACTACTCAAAATGTTGCCCTCTGTACTCCCTGCCTTTGCCATTGCTGAGACAAAATTCCCAACACCTGCCGCTTGAAGGAGGCTCACGGTTTCCAGGTTCCAGTCCATGGGTCGCTGGCTCCCAGCCAGAGTCACACTGGCAGTGGAAGACTGCTCAACTCATGGCATCGGAGAAGCTGAGAGCAGAAGAGCCTGCGAAGACGGGGCCAGAGGCCAGCTGCTGTCCACAAGGGCACCCCCATGACCACCCAGACGCACCCCGAAGTGTGCACCACTAACGCAGGCATCCCTCAAGCCGGTCACGCGGACAGTCAGAATCAGCCACTGTGCCCTTCTCTAAGGCTTCGCCGCTTTCCCAAGGCCTGGACAAGCACAGTTCATTTTGGGTTTCGTAGCTGGCTTTATTGCCGTCACCTAATTTCCACGTGTTGGCCTCCTACTGAACCGCCCCTTCCCGTTCTGAGCATCCTTCCAACCGGACCGTTGTCTGTGGGTCAGGACAGCTCACGGCTCTGCCCAGGCTCGCATGGCTTTGGTGTGTGTGGGTCCCATGGGGACTTGACCCCAGGCCCATGCTTTCAATCACTGTCCTAACTAAACAGACATGCAGGAATTTGATAGTCTGGTATGTCAGCCTTTGAACTTCCAACATCTGTAACCCCCGCAAAAAAAAAAAAAAACCTTAAAAAAAACAAAAGAAGTACAAATGGGACTCAGTAGCTACAAATTCGTAAAGTCCTTGGGTGGGGAGGAGCTATGTCTAATGTATCTTTGAACCCCATACTCCATCTCTGTCCAAAACCATCACACTTTTTAAAGTACTAGCAGCTGATGTCCGAGCACCTCCTCTGTACCACAGACTGTGCTAAGCACTGTGCACACTTTATTTAGTACTTTTCACATCCACAAATTGAGGTACAGCAATCACAACTACTAAGTGAATCGAACCCAGCCCAAGCCAGCACCTTCAGGGTTGCGCTTCTACACCACTGCCTAACTTCTCATTTTCCAATTTCAGTGTTTTTATGGTATTGATTTCTACTTTTTCCACTTATTTCACTTTCGCTTAAGGTGCCCGCTGTGGCACAAGGAGTTTTCTTTTTTAATTGGTGACTGAACCCAGCTATGTCCTCAGCAGAGGAAGTGTCTTAAAGGTCTTTTTATAACACCCTGGAAGAACTTCCTGAGTCAGGGAATCTAAGATTGAACTAAGAAAAATCCGCAGTAAGAAAGCCTTACGGTGTCACTGGAATATCCCTCAAGAGGCCACCTCTTCTTGGAAAGAAGTTAAGCGGAGCTTCCCCGAGAAAGGATGTCGCTTTTTGAAGCCAGCAAAGTCCCACGCTGAGGCCACACCCGCCTACTGGCCGCACCGCGATCCAGCTGGGGAACAAGCTCCACGAACTCAGCTCGGCAGTTTACAGATGGTGCCACGGGATTCCAGCACATAAAGGCATCTGGTGCCTCTAAACACTCAAATCTCTCAGTTTGAACACGTCCCAGCTGCGCACCTTGCCGGCTTGGGAAGGGAAGAGAACCAAGCTCACCCTGGCCCCGGGGTCCTCGTCTCACCGGTACCACAGCCTCTGCCAGCAGATGGTAGCACTTCCCGCATTGTCGGCTGGGAATATGCTGAATTAAATGGTCTAATGCAAGCTCAAAACCTGTATACATCGTCCAAAACGTGGCAAGGTGTCCCAAACCTATTTGCCTAACTCCTTTTTTTCAAGACACACCAGCTAGCATCTCACTGAACTCACAGTTCGGGAAGTTGTCATAAGAAACTCACAGTCCATGGTTTCTCTTCGTTTTCACGTTAGGGACTGGACACGGAGGGTGCAGTCTCCTTAAAAACATGAACGCCTTCAGTGCCTTAGAAGCGTGAACAGGACGGCTATAGCTCAGAGCAGAGCACTTGGCTCATCTGTGCAAAGCCTCGAGTTCCGCCCCGGCACTGCAGACAACAAAACAAAGCGAAACAGTGTAAGTGTGGTCAGACGCCCCCACACCCACATTTAACCTACATGTAGCGGAAGCCACTCAGCAGGAAAACGTGTCCCACGTGTCCCCTTTCCCGGGGTGTCACGCCCCCTCTCCTCCCTCTGTCCCACGACTGAGCGGGGGACCCGTCACGAGGGCTGATCGGGTGGCTGTCACCTGCTGGGCCAGCTGTCCCTGGGGGAAGAATCAGTAGAGGGAGAAGTCCCAGGAGGGGGCCGGGGACAGAGCTCAGCAGCACAGCGCCTGCCTGTTAAGCGCAAGGTCCTGGGTTCAGTTCCGGTACCAACAACAAACACTGCCCCCATGTCACGGTCATCGCCCCACTTTAAACATTCAGAGGGAACCAATTCATTCGTATTCACAAGCTGCAGGGATGGTCCGCCCTCCCCGGGCCCAGCTCAGTTAAAGTGGCAGGCGGGCCTGCGCGGAGCCAGCACGGCAGCGCTGTACTCCGAAGAGCTCAAGGGCGGGTTTCCGCTGTTTCTTCGGCGTAGAAGGCACACACTTACACGTGGGGTTCCGTAAGAAAATCACCAGCTTTATTTTTCGTCAATACACTTAGAAACTTAGTCTGGGAAGAGGCTGCGTGAAATAGACCAGAGGACTATTTACAAAACTGAGCGGTCCAAACCAGTAAAAAGACAGAAGGACAGGCAGCGCAGCGGCCGGCGGCTCAGGGCCTCGCCACCAGCGCGGAGGCCAGGTCCCGCACAGCCCTGGAGTTCAGCTGCGGGATGGTGCTGACCTTCAGGAGCCGGCCACTGGCGTACTTGTTCCTGACGGCCTGCGGAGTGGGGGACAGCGTGTCGGGCCGGCCCCACTCGGCTGCTTCCTGCGGGCCCGGCCGCCCTGGCGCCTGACCCCCAGCCAGCACACCCCAATGCCCCCGGCCAGGCGGCGGGCCCAGTGTGCGTGTGCGGAGCGCCGCGAGCTGGCCAGGGAGCCGTGCCCACCCTACGGGGCTCCACCCCAGCACAGGGCGCCCAGACGGGGACGGCCCCGCGCGCAGCACCTCCGCGGGCCTGCTCCAAATCCAGCGGCACCCGGGCCACCCTGCCGGGCTCCAGGCACTGCCCGCCCTGACAGGCCCGCACGGGAGGCTCCAGGGACGCACGGACACGGGGACGCACGGACACAGGAACGCAGGGATGCACGGACACAGACACACAGACACACGGACACAGAGACACGGACACAGGGACGCACAGACATGGAAGCAGGGGCACAGGGACACACACAGGGACACAGGGACGCACAGACACAGGGACGCATGGACACAGACGCACAGACACACGGACACAGACACGGAAGCAGGGACACAAGGATGCACGGACACGGACACACAGACACAGGGACGCACAGACACAGGGACGCATGGACACGGACGCGGGGACGCACAGATGGACACTGGAATGCATGGACACGGACGCGGGGACGCGGGGCGGAGCGTGCCGTGAGCCCGCCGCAGACGCTGCACACCGCCGGCAGTACTCACGATGAACTTGGTCAGGTTCTCGTTGACCTTCACCACGTTCTTGGCCATGTGCTGCATGACTTCCAACACCTCGCCCTCCGAGTAGCCCGTGTAGTACTGCTGCTTCAGGGTCTGCAACGCGGGCGACGGGAAAGGCGTCACTGCGGGGCAGGATGAGCACTGCGTGCACGGCCATCACCCGGGAAACCCCATCACCCGGCAACCGTTGCCATGGCCGCACAGATGCGCAGGACAGGGGGGGCGGCTCTTCCTCAAGGGCCAAAGGCCCTCGGGTATTTTTTTGAAAAGGGCCTAGGGTACTTTAATTAACAAGGTTTAAAGCTTACTTCAATTAAACAATTAGGCTGCGTTACCTACAACTCCACACGATGAGCGGAATCTCTAGGTACTGCAAACATGTACTCATACAAATTTTAAAAGTATTTAACCTGAACAAAGTTTCAAGTTACTCTGATTCCCTTACAGGAAGAGGAAGAGAAGTAAGACACTGTGAAAGCAACGCCAGCCAGAGGTGCCCCTCGGGGCCGGGGCGCAGTCACACACAGCTGCGCCGGCCTTGCCAGACACGGTGGTTCCGAGCACGAGCCCCGGTGTGCACACTTTGCGCAAAGAAAGAGGTTTAGAATTAGGAACTGCGCGGTGGGTAACAATCCAGCGAAACCGGGTCTGGCACCCCAGGGTCCACAGGCGCACACCAGAAAGCGGGGAGAACCCAGAGGCCCCGCCCTGCCCCCGGAACAGAGTTCAAGCAGCAGGCCCGCCGCCGGTGGATGACAAGATTATCACCTGCGCAGACACGCGGCCTTTCGCCCCGAGCTCTGTGATGAAGTTCCAAACACTACACTACTCCTTTCCCACGCGGGGAACGATTTCCAAAACGTAGCACATGTTTTTTCATGCTGGGGATCAAACCCAGGGCCTTTGCAGGGGCTACAACCCCAGCCCACTTCTGTGATTGTTTAGTTTTCCAACACAGGATCTCAGCAAGTTGCCCAGGCTGGGCTCAGGCTGCGATCCTCCTGCTTCAGCCTCCCAGACTGCTGGGACAAGGCACGCACCACTACGACAGGCTCAACACAGCTAAATCGTAAAGCAGTGTGAGGGAAAAAGAACCGAGCAGGAGGAAGACTGAAGTAACGCACAAGCCCTTGTACTGTAAAACTGATTCCCGCAAAGCTGAGGTGCCAAAAGGTAGGAAGTCCAGGAAAGCGCACTTGGAAATTTGGCGGAAGTGACTTTTTTGCCTCAAACTTCATCCCAGGAGGATAGTGAACCCGCACAGCCTTCACCTGATTCAGGACTGAGACCTAGCCACGTTCCTCCTCCCTGTGCACGCACACACACGGCTGTGCAGGCGTCAGCTGCAGTGCAGCCCAGACATGCGGACACGCCCCGCCCCGTCAAACGCCGGCTCAGACACATCGCCAGCACTGAACACAGTAGGGCTCGAGTTCCTCCAACCGAGGCAGCATTTAAAGGCCATGGCAATCTAATGCCTCCAAATTAGTCCATCCAGTAATCACTGAATCAGTTATTCCACTGAGGGTTTTAAAACAGTGGATTTTAAGTCAACCACTGAGGTGCACGGCAGTCATTCCAGGTAACTGGGAGACCGAGGCAGAAGGGTTACTTGAGCCCACGAGTCTGAGACTAGCTTGGGCAAAACAAGACATTGTCTCAAAAAAGAAAAAATAAGGGGATTTCTAACTCTAGCATCATGCTTTTTTCTATAATTAGCTGCTATTCTGATCTTTAAAAAGAAAAAAATGTTCTGGGTGTATAGCACTTGCCTAGTATGAGACCTTGGTTCCAGCCACAGCACCACAAAAAATAATAAATAAAAATTAAAAAGCAATAAAAAAGACTGCACTTTGTCAAACGGCAGCGTAGATGGGGGCAGCAGGTCACAGCTTCTCCGGGAGCTGGAATCCCGACAACTGGGACAGAGCTACGCACTGGGTGAGGAGAGGGAAGAGCTCAGCAGGGAGGTGCGGCTTACAGGAAGCTCAACAGCACGGGGAGAAGACAGCAGAGGCAAGACTGTTATGCAGACTTAACGCAATTCTGATCAAAATTCCAGCAGCATATCTCACAGGATTAGAGAAAACAATCCTGAAATTCATTTGGAAACAGAAGAAAACTAGAATAGCCAAGGCAATTCTGGGCAACAAAGATAAGGCAGGTGGCATCACAACCCTCTACTTGAAATTATACTACAAAGCTACTGTTGTAAAAACAGTATGGTACTGGCAAAAAAAAAAAAAAAAACAGACCTGAACATCAGTGGAACAGATTAGAAGATGCAGAAACAACTCCAGTCATACTCAGCTCCCTTATCTTTGACAAAGGTGCCAAACACATTCACTGGAAGAAAGATAGCCTCTGCAAAAAATGGTGCTGGAAAAACTGGCCCTACATACACCAAAGATTAAAAATTGGACCATGTATTTCACCATGCTCTAAACTAAAGTTAAAATGGATCAAAGGTCTAAATATTAAAATAGAAATATTATATCTGCTGGGAGATAGAATAGGTAAAACTCTCAAAGACAGTGGTGCAGGCAAAGATTTTATGAGTAAAACCCCAACTGCAGAGAAACTATCAAAGAATCAACAACTGGGATCTCACCTTATTAAAAAGCTTTTGCACAGCAAGATAAACCACCAACAGAGTGAAGGAAAAAATCCACACTGTGGGAAAAAGTGTTTGCCAGCTGTTCCTCAGACAGAGGGTTACTATCAAGAACATACAAAGAACTCAAAAAAAGCAGACCTCCCAAAGTTAAAGACCCAATCCAAAAATGGGCATCTGAGATGAATACACACTTCTCAGATGAAGAAATACAAATGCAAATAAATACATGAGAAAATGTTCAACATCACTGCTCATTCGAAAGATGCAAATTAAAACAACATTGAGATTCCATCTCACCCCAGAAAGAATGGCTACCATCAAGAAATCAACCAACAACAAGTGCTGGCGGGGCTATGCAGAAAAAGGAACCATACTCCACTGCTGGTGGGAGTGTAGACTGATGCCACCACTGTGGAAGTCAGTGTGGAGATTCCTCAGAAAACAAGGACTAGAGGTTCCATTTGACCCAGTCCTTCCCCTTCCGAGTATCATCCTAAAAGAATTAAAAGCATCATACCACAGTAACATATGCGCCCTATGATTATAATGGAGTACTACTGTGCCATAAAGAAGGATACACTCAAGACATTTCTAGGAAAATGGATGCACCTTGAGTCCATACTCTTAAGTGAAATAAATCAGACACACGTGTGTAAATACTGCATTGTTCCTCTGGTGCGAGAACCCAAAAGTGTAAAATAGATATTGTAAAATAGGAATAAAACGTTCAAGTGGGGAGGGAACAAGGGACAAAGGAAGGGGAACAGACAGAAGAGAAAATTTTTTTTAAAAATGAGAAAATAAGGAAAAACAAACAAAAAAAAGAGAAAATAAGGAAAATATGGACACAAAACTTTTGTAAATGGGGAGGGGAAGAGTGGTTGAAGGGAGGGGAGGGGGATGGGAAAAAAGGCACGTTATATGATGTCCAGGTACACATCCTCTATGGTGAATGTGATCACTATGTGTGATCTAAAATGTACCAATAAAATCTGAATAAAAAAACAGCCAAATAAGAAAAGCCCAGACACCTGTGGGATAAAGGCACTGTGCTGATCAATAGCACCCGACTCTCAGCAGTTCAGGGCCAGACACGGGAAAACAACCTGGGGAAGGACAAAAGAGAGAAGCGCTTTCCGGGGAACTGAAGAGGCGGCACACAACGCAGAGAAAGGGAAAGACGTCTGCACCTCCTCCCCCTCCCACCTGGAGCCTCAGGGGAAGGACACCCGATCTGCAGGGACAAAGGACAGCTGGTGACTCCGGAGGGCTGCGGGACACGCAGTGGTACAGCGGGCCAGCGGGAAGCGCAGGGCTCTGCTCCCTGGGAGTCCTTCTCTGGCAACAGCTGGCAAACGACTCCACTCCAAGCTAGAGAGGCCCTGGCGGGACCAACTCCAGGGAAGGGTGTGCGCCGAACCCAGAGCGCAGAGCAACCCCGGGATGGCTTCACGTCAGAGCTCCCAGTGCTGCGTTTCCACAGTGACTGGGCGAGAGGCAGCCAAGGTCAGGGGGCCTCGGGCAGGCTGGAAAGAAACCTCCCAGGCCTTGAGCTAGGGGACCAGGCCCCGCCCCACAGCCTAAGACCTAGCTCAGCCTGAGTCGCTAGAGATTTGCCACAGCCCCGGGACCGGCCCTGTCCTTGCACACACCACCTGCTGCCGCCCGCATCCCGCAGGGACGGGCGTCTGACTGTCAGTGTTATCGACCACCCTGAGGACCAGGGCTTGACAGTGCCCCAAGCTGGAGATCCTGCAGAAACCTACACACTCACAGTGACAGAGACACTGCTTTTCTTCTTTATTTTCATTTTTATTTTGGTGTCTCCATTGCTCTTTTCAGGTTTTTGATTGTATTATTTTTTCTTTTATCTTCTCTCCTTTCCTCCTTTCTTCATGAGTTTACTGGGACTTGGGGAATTTTGCTTTCTCCCTTTTCTTTGCTTCTGTATTTTTTTCTCCTTGAGGCTTGTAATTTTTTGTCTTGTTTTTTGGCTTTTTGAGACAGGATCTCACTATGTAGTTCAGGCTGGCCCCAATCTCTTGACAATCCTCCCTCCTCAGCCTCCTGAGTTCTGGGATCATAAGTGTCCACAGTCATGCCCAGCTTTTGTCGTCTTCTTTTCTTTTCTTTTTTTTTTTTTTTAAAGACAGGATTTCACTCTAGCCCAGGTGGGCCTTGAACTCACTCTGTACTTCAGAATGGCCTCAAACTCACAGTGATCCTCCTGTCTCAGCCTCCTGAGTGCTGGGATGAAAGGCATTTACTGTCAGCCCCAGTTTGTCTTATTTCTACTCCCCAAATAATTTTTTGCTTCCTCTTTGTCTTTTACCTTCTACTTCGCATCAGTTTTTTCCTCTTACGTTTATCTAATTCTGTCACTATCCTTCTATTCTGCTGAAGATCCTTTGTACCACTTCTTTTTCCAGTTCTCACATCAAATAGTTTAAGGTTTTAGTATTTACACTGTAAGTGC